TTTAACAGGAGGTAGAAAATTAGATCTTTTACTTACATGTGAAATTTCATTTATCTATCGGAAATAGTACTCAAGTTATAGGCTTTTGAAAAATTCAAAGTAGAAAAAGTACCACTTCCGGTTATCGAAAATCGCTCAAAAGTTGATACGGATCTACGATTTTGATAAAATACTTCTCTATGAAATTTCATCAACCTATCTGTAACGGTACTCAAGTTATCGTGTTTACACACACACACACGCACACACACAGACACACAGACATACGGACAAGATTGCAAAATTATGTTTTTCCGTATCAGTGAGGTGTAAAACGTCGAGATTTGTAAAAATCTTGATTTTTTTTATTTTATTTTTTTGCACGATTACAAGACTTTTTCTATACTTCGTATATACGAGAAAGTAAAAATTAAAAAGTCACAGAAAAAAATAAACCGGGAGCGATCTACCCTAAACTTTGTCGAACGTCCTTATATAAAAAAAAACAGGGGATGGGAACTCGGGATATAGACATGAATTTTAATCCATTTTAAATACTTAAACTTTTAAAAATAGAATAAAATCTCGTAGAAAAAAGAATTGCACACCTGTGAACGCCAAATAAAATGTGCATAATAGTGCGGAATATTATTAGTACTTAATAAATTTACATTCGTTTTTTGAGAAATCTGAAATAGCGTAAATTAGTACTTCCGATCAACGGTAATTACTCAAAATTTGAGAGAAGGTAGAGAATTAGATCTTTTACTTACATGTGAAATTTCATTTATCTATCTGAAATAGTACTCAAGTTATAGGCTTTTGAAAAATTCAAAGTAGAAAAAGTTCCACTTCCGGTTATCGGAAATCGCTCAAAAGTTGATCAGGATCTACGATTTTGATAAAATACTTATATATGAAATTTCATCAACCTAGCTGTAATGGTACTCAAGTTATCGTGTATACACACACACGGACACACAGACACACAGACACACAGACATACGGACAGAATTGCAAAGTCCAGTTTTTCCGACTCGATAACGCATAAAACGTAAGTAAAAATTGTGCTTGTTTAAACCATTTTCTCACTCTTAACAGACACTTGGTTCAAAGTTCTCATCTAAAAATATATCAGACTTAAGTCGAATATGTCTCACGTGCCGATAGATCACACTCGGCTCAATAGCTTGAGTGGATTATCTTCCAACCCAACTAATCCTTTGTGTGAGGATGAGATGACAAGACAACTTGTGAGGTTGACATGTGTGTGGGACAAGTGTCAAGACAAGTGGTGAGGTCTGCAAGACGTCCATTAAGTGGCCCACCCCGGGCCAGTTAGTACAACCTCAACTGACGGCTATTTTTGTCAGCACTTGGGCAAGCAGCCATTGTTTCCCCTCGTACATAAGTGTTCTTGATGTCTTGACCGCCACATTTGAGTTGTTTTCTTTTGTAGGAGTTTAGGTATTTATTCTCTAGACAGAAAGTAGTTGCCATAAAAGTATACATACATACCTGAATGTATATAATTGTGACGGCGTGTTTGATGGTAGAGCGCCCGAGTTCCTACCCGAAAGTATCGAGTTCGGATCCCTGGCTCCATTCCGTGCCTGAGTCCACCCAGCTCTGATGGAAATCCTGGCATAAGTTGGCGAAAGTCAAGGCGACTGGGTAGAGTACTGACCATTCTATCCCTTCATATACCGAGGTCACAGAAATAGATCCGCTCTACTTCATCTGCCCGGTGGTTCGCAAGGTCCTAAAGGGTAATTTAACATGCATACATATATACATACATACATATATACATGCATACATATATACATGCATACATATATGCATGCATACATATATACATAAATATCTAAACGACAACTTATAAATAGACAATCGTGCCTTATGTTTTGTTACAAATATGCTCTATCTATATCTTTTTTACAAGTCTGCCAGTTTGATGTGTACATGAATCGATACAGGCTTGTATTTTTCCGTTTCTTCATGTGTACAGGAATGAGATGACACAGGCTTGTATTTGTCCGTTTCTTACAGAATGTGTACTTGAAGACAAACTGGTCCACTTCCTGGTGTAATTATTTTGCGAACTGAAGCCAGGTACCCTACAGAGCTGAGTGGACTCAGTGACATCCTTCAGTCCTAGCCCAGGCGGCAGGCATTTTGGGGGGGGGGGGGGATTTTGATCAATTTTTTTTATTCTGGTGGATGTTTCTAGAACATGCGTGTCACAGCCAAGACAAGACACGATAAGATAAGACACAACAAGACAAGACACAACGAGACACAACAAGACAAGACACAACGAGACACAACAAGACACAACAAGACACAACAAGACACAACAAGACAAGACACAACAAGACACAACAAGACAAGACACAACGAGACACAACAAGACACAACAAGACACAACCAGACACAACAAGACACAACAAGACAAGACACAACAAGACACAACAAGACACAACAAGACACAACAAGACACAACAAGACACAACAAGACACAACAAGACAAGACACAACAAGACACAACAAGACACAACAAGACAAGACACAACAAGACGAGACACAACAAGACAAGACACAACAAGACACAACAAGACAAGACACAACAAGACACAACAAGACACAACAAGACACAACAAGACACAACAAGACAAGACACAACAAGACACAACAAGACACAACAAGACACAACAAGACACAACAAGACACAACAAGACAAGACACAACAAGACACAACAAGACACAACACGACTGACTCAACGTGTGAGTCATGACTATTGGCGCCACTAGAATTGCCATGTCTATCGATGTGAGTGGGTGAAAGTTGAACATCTTCCACATACCGGCCTGGTGTGAGCGAGGGGAAGTACTTGATGACAGCCTCCTTGTCATTTCTTTTAATATGCTCATTGATGAGGCGGTGAATCATTAGCAGTGTGTCATTGTCTCTTCTAATTAATTAACTTTGTATCATTATGGCGCCATTCAAACAAGCGCCGTAAGTGGCGCTAATTTGTAGATTGTAGGGAAAAAAAGTCACAGGAAAAAAGTCACAAATGTGTATTTGCATGGAATTTGTTAAAACTTGAGTGTTTTCGAAAACTGCAAATCAACATACAATTAATTCAATGTGATGTAAATATTTTAGATATATGAGCGTATGTTGCAGTTCTACGTAACACACATATATTTAGTCTCAAGTATGTAGGTTTTAATTCCATTGTAGAATAGATGATATTAAGTAAAATGCTTCAACCTACTCAATTTTGATCGTGTTTTTAAAATATAAACTTTGAATCAGCGTGAAACGGGGGGAAGACATAGTTAATATTCTTTGCTGTCCTTAACTCATCACAACAACAGCTCAGCCACATATGCTGTCCACATTTATCACTCTCATTCCAACACAAAGCATGTTATCAGATCGAAAAGCCGACACAGTACAAAGGCTGTCGTTGAAGCAACAACACACCATGTGGACCAACAAGGCCGACTGAGGAAAGATCTGCGGCAAAAATAAAATAAAAACCAACACAAAGATGTGCCTACATTTCTTACATGTATTCAGATAAATGTGTAACAAAATTTGAGGCTGTTGTGTAACTTATCTTATAGTACTTTTACTTATTGTGAAGGTCTAAGTCGGATTATTATTAAAAATAACAATAAAAATAATGCTTTCAGAATTCTCAACAAAAAATAAAAAGATTCCTTATTCTCGTTTGTGACTTTTTTTCTGGGACTTCTAGGACTTTTTTTAAATAAATTTTTCCTTTTTGACTTTTCTACTTTCTCGTAAACGAAGAATAGAGGAAGTATTGTAATCGTGCAAAAAATCGAAATCGAGATTTTTACAGATCTTGACGTTTTACACCTCCCTGAGTTGGAAAAAAAATAGTTTTGTAATTTTGTCTGTATGTGTGTTCGCGTGTCTGTGAGCACGATAACTTGAGTATTGTTACATCAAATATATAGTTTATCAATTTTTCGGCGATTTCCGGTAACCGGAAGTGGAATTAATTCTACTTTTGCGTTTTTCAAAACCTGTAATTTGAGTACTGTTTCTGACAGATAGATGAAATTTCACATATAAGTAAAATATCTAATTCTCTGCCTTCTGTCAAATTTTGATTTTTGAGTTATTTCCGTTGACCCGAAATAGTACTCTACACTATTTCCGATTTCGCAAAAAAAAAAGCATATGAATTTATAAAGTACCAATGTTCCGAACTATTATACACATATTGTTTGCCGTTCACTCGGTGCACAGTTCTTTCTTCGACGAGATTATATTCTTTTTTTAAAAGTGTAAGTATTTAAAAATTGACTTGAAATCATGTCAATATCCCGAATAACTATCCCCCGTAGTGTTATATAAAAATATTCGAGAAAGTTTAGGGGAGATCACTCCCCCTTTGTTTTTTTTTCCTAACAAAAACTGTGACTCTTTTCTATGACTTTTTCTCCGCTCACAGATTAGTATTGGGCTTGTGGGTCAGCCAGATCTTCCTCTCTGGTGGGGGGGGGGGGGGGGTGGGGGGGGGCAGACAGATCTTGACGGTGCACACAAAATACACCTTGCTCATCTAGCTGCATGTATCACTAGATCTACATCTAGCTGCATGTATCACAAAGTAGATCTACATCTAGCTGCATGTATCACAAAGTAGATCTACATCTAGCTGCATGTATCACAAAGTAGATCTACATCTAGCTGCATGTATCACAGGTTAGACTAGGATAAACATCACGTTAACATGGCTGGTAGATCTCTTCACACACACACACAGGGCAATGTGGTCACACACACACACACAGGATAATGTGGTCACACACACACACACACACAGGATAATGTGTTCACCCACACACGACAGTGTGTTCACCCACACAATGATCAGCACATCCAACAGCCACACACACACACGATGAATACAATCAAAGTTTTTCCTTCATCAACAATGACGTCACAACACCCACAAACTCAGAACAAAGGATAGTTATGTCAACATTTTAATTCTACAAACATGGTTTTTGTTTCAATCGAGATCAGCAAGTTGGACCAAAACATGGCTAATGTCTGGTCGAGGTTGAGAGGTCAATTTCTGACAGTCAAACTGTTGCCATAGCAACGTGACTGCAAAAACTCTTGAGTGGGGATATACAAAGTAAGCTGAGGCAGAAGCGTGTTGTGGGGTGGTGGTGTGGGGTATAGATGGTGTGGGGTGGTGATGTGGGATGGTGTTGTGGGGTGGGGTGGTGTTGGTATGGGGTGGTGGTGTGGGGTATGGGTGGTGTGGGGTGGTGATGTGGGATGGTGTTGTGGGGTGGGGTGGTGGTGGTGTGGGGTGGTGGTGTGGGAAGACGTTTGAGGTGGTGATGGGGGTGTGATGTGGAGTGAAGTGTGGGTGGTGTTGTATGTGTGTAGAGTTTGGATGTGGTTGGGTGGTGTGTTAGTGTAGCAGCATCATACCATCATACCATCATACACGCTGAAAGTTGCAGTTGTATAAATAGAAGCGTCATTTATATAAAAGTTTGATATAATTAGATACGTCATACAAATTAAAAGCTTTCAATATTACAGGTGTAACAAATGACAGCTTGACACAAATGACAGTTTGATATAAATAGTTGCGCCATTTGTATGACAGATTGGAATAAATACACTGAGATGTAAGACACCAACACAACCAGTTTATGTCAAGTTTTGTGGGTGTCTGTAACACGGCAAGTTTCCTGATGACAAGTTTCGTGTGTGTCTGTGAGACCAAATTTACAAATGTGAAAGTTTGAGCGGACATCCTACAAGTTCTGACATTCGCATCCCGGGATTGTGACGTTTTGACTAAATGTGGAGTGACATGATGGCATGTCATGACATTACGAACCGAGTCAATGACATTAGCTCGATGACCTAAAGATGACCTACAGATGACCTTCAGATGACCTTCCGGTGACCTGTAGGTTGAACACAGAAGTAGGTCGTGAGTCTGAACGCTAGTTACGTCACGTAAAAAATGGCGTCGTGTGTCGTCTGCTTCGCGCTGCAGACGTGAAACGTCATCAAGTTGCGCTGTACCCGGCATTTCAAAGTTCAGGACAACGAATGCATTTTGTCATCAACGACGTCGATTTCATCGTCGGAATCGTTGATGTCGTCATCGTAATCGTCGTCCTCCTCCCCCGCCCCATCTGAGCAGTCGCCACTGTGGTGCTGCTTGCTGACGTCACACATGTCGTCATCGTGCTGTGACGCACACTCTCCTGACGGCGACTCCTGCAGACAAAAAAGTCAATTCAGTCAAAGTTTTTCAACGAAACAAAACTCTAGACAATTTACAAAACACGGTTATATTCCCATCGGAAAAAATCAAAACTTTCTTTTTAAATAATTCATGTACCAATAGGCATGAAAAGTCTATGTAATCATACTAATTTTTTTTATCTTTAAAAACAATATGGCAAGCGATAAATGTATAGTTACATTTGTAAAATGTGAAGGTGTTTCATATTTTTTGTATTGAATATTTTATAAGCCGTTGAGTAGCCGTTTGAATTATTTTATCAATTCAAATATTTTTTTTTAAAAACCGCACTCAACTCCTCCTAGAAGTCAACAATAATAGTCACAACAATTGTTTTCCATGATAAAATACACAATAGTGGTCAATGGGATATAGCCTAGTATTGTATTCATATTAAATAATATAACATCCCCTAACACCACAGTACCCTGACTCTACTAATCCAAATTAAGAATAAAAGTATTTGTTAAATTACTATTATATTAATACTAATTATTTGTTTGAATATTTCTGGCCATAATAAAACCGGAAGTCATTTTTTACTTATTTGACAAATGTTATAAAACATTCAATTTTAGTTGAAAAATATTCTTTCTGGCAACAACCATTTGGAACAAGCTTTTCAAGTCTGGCAACAAAAATTTGGAACCAGCTTTTCAAGTCTGGCAACAAAAATTTTGAACCAGCTTTTCAAGTCTGGCAACAAAAATTTGAAACCAGCTTTTCAAGTCTGGCAACAAAAATTTGGAACCAGCTTTTCAAGTCTGGCAACAAAAATTTGGAACCAGCTTTTCAAGTCTGGCAACAAAAATTTGGAACCAGCTTTTCAAGTCTGGCAACAAAAATTTGGAACCAGCTTTTCAAGTCTGGCAACAAAAATTTGGAACCAGCTTTTCAAGTCTGGCAACAAAAATTTGGAACCAGCTTTTCGAGTCTGGCAACAAAAATCTGGAACCAGCTTTTCAAGTCTGGCAACAAAAATCTGGAACCAGCTTTTCAAGTCTGGCAACAAAAATCTGAACAAGCTTTTCCAGCCTACTGCTATCAGCTGAACCAGACAGAGTTGGACCGGAAACACCTACCTGCTTTAATCGGCGCCATTTTGCTCGTCTGTTCTGGAACCAAGTCTTTACCTGCAAAAGTCAGAAACAAAAGTAAATTTTTGAAGACACAAAGAATGGAGGATTCTTTAAAAAAAAACAACCTCAATATACGATCAGCGCTATGAATCGTCTGACCAATACAGGTGTGAGCGTGACCTACCTGTCTCTCGGTCAGGTGCAGTGACTTGGCCAGTTTCTTCCTCTCGGGCGGGCTCAGGTACTTGTGGCCCTCGAACTTCTTCTCCAGCTCCACCGTCTGGTCGTTGGAGAACCTCACCTGCCCGCCCTTCCTCTTGTGGAGCGGTCTCTGCAGGAAGGGACTCCACATCCAGGGTTTGGGGCCCACTGGGGACACAGAGGAGAGATCGTTAGGGGGTGTGGGGTGTTTGTGGGGGCCCACTGGGGGCACAGAAGGGGAGCTCGTTAGGGGGTGTGTGGGGTGTTTGTGGAGTTTAGCGATGGCTTTTCGTTGAATGATTGGATGGGGCTTATGCTGTATGTTTGGGCAAAACGTTCACGGTGGCGTCGGGGGGGGGGGGGGGTACGGTGGTGCAGCTGTGTCAAGGAAGACCAACATACTGGGGCACAGGGCAGATCTATAGAGGCATAGGGCAGATCTATAGAGGCACAGGGCAGATCTATGGAGGCTCAGGGCAGATCTATGGAGGCTCAGGGCAGATCTATGGAGGCACAGGGCAGATCTATGGAGGCACAGGGCAGATCTATGGAGGCACAGGGCAGATCTATGGAGGCACAGGGCAGATCTATGGAGGCACAGGGCAGATCTATGGAGGCACAGGGCAGATCTATGGAGGCACAGGGCAGATCTATGGAGGCACAGGGCAGATCTATGGAGGCACAGGGCAGATCTATGGAGGCACAGGGCAGATCTATGGAGGCACAGGGCAGATCTATGGAGGCACAGGGCAGATCTATGGAGGCACAGGGCAGATCTATGGAGGCACAGGGCAGATCTATGGAGGCACAGGGCAGATCTATGGAGGCACAGGGCAGATCTATGGAGGCACAGGGCAGATATATGGAGGCACAGGGCAGATCTATGGAGGCACAGGGCAGATCTATGGAGGCACAGGGCAGATCTATGGAGGCACAGGGCAGATCTATGGAGGCACAGGGCAGATCTATGGAGGCACAGGGCAGATCTATGGAGGCACAGGGCAGATCTATGGAGGCACAGGGCAGATCTATGGAGGCACAGGGCAGATCTATGGAGGCACAGGGCAGATCTATGGAGGCATAGGGCAGATCTATGGAGGCACAGGGCAGATCTATGGAGGCACAGGGCAGATCTATGGAGGCACAGGGCAGATCTATGGAGGCATAGGGCAGATCTATGGAGGCATAGGGCAGATCTATGGAGGCATAGGGCAGATCTATGGAGGCATAGGGCAGATCTATGGAGGCATAGGGCAGATCTATGGAGGCATAGGGCAGATCTATGGAGGCATAGGGCAGATCTAATGACTTAGACGATTGTTTTAGTGCAAGCCTTGACCCGCCTACCAAATTTTTAAGTTGTAAATGATGCTCTCCTAAGTCCACTACAAAGCAACTTAAATTTTATTACACCCATCTAGGTCAAGCTAGCCTCGTTTCAATATCTTCACATGTTTGTGTTGTGGTCGGCAGAGAACGGAAGTGATAATATCCTTGTAGTGTCTACTGCAGGAGTAGATAAAGGCAGTGGTAGGAAGAAAACCCCTCAAGAAAGGTCGCAGTTACCTCCCTCCTCCAGCCACTAGCCCTGTTTACCGGTAGCTGGCCGGACAGATACTACACTTTCAAAGAACCTTAAGACGAATGTCCGCTTCGATAGTCCAGCTCAGGAAATGGACGTCCTTGACCGTAGCTGTTACAGGCTGGAGTAGCGGGTGAGGGCAGGGGGTGGGGGTGGATGGATGGGTGAGCAGGCCACTTAGCCATACCACTACGAGTGAGGCGCGGGCCACTTCAAATGGCCAGAGCTGCAGAGGAAACATTCGTTGTATCCGCCGTCTTAAAGCTGGTCTTAAACTTGATTGTTGAATCTTACAAACTTGGTTGTTGAATCTTACAAACTTTGTTGTTGAATCTTACAAACTTTGTTGTTGAATCTTACAAACTTGATTGTTGAATCTTACAAACTTGATTGTTGAATCTTACAAACTTGATTGTTGAATCTTACAAACTTGGTTGTTGAATCTTACAAACTTGGTTGTTGAATCTTACAAACGTTGTTGTTGGATCTTACAAACTTGATTGTTGAATCTTACAAACTTGATTGTTGAATCTTACAAACTTGATTGTTGGATCTTACAAACTTGGTTGTTGGATCTTACAAACTTGATTGTTGAATCTTACAAACGTTGTTGTTGGATCTTACAAACTTGATTGTTGAATCTTACAAACTTGATTGTTGAATCTTACAAACAGAGTTTCTTCCAGGCATCTCTTCGGGGGGGCAAAGCCCCCCCCCCGAAAATTTTTTACCGCCCCCCCGAACGAAATGAAATTTATATAATTTATATAGAAAATATATACTTTTAGCAGTGTCCGCCCCCCCGAAGAAAGTTTACCGCCCCCCCGAAGATTTCAAGTGCCCCCCCGGAGAAAAAAGTCTGGAAGAAACACTGCTTACAAACTTGATTGTTGGATCTTACAAACTTGGTTGTTGAATCTTACAAACTTGATTGTTGAATCTTACAAACTTGATTGTTGAATCTTACAAACGTTGTTGTTGGATCTTACAAACTTGATTGTTAAATCTTACACTTAGGAGCTGGTCTAAAACTTGCTTACCCTAACCCTAATTATTAAATTTTAAACTATTCATTTTATTTGTTCTACACTCGTTATTTGTTTAGTTGTTGACAAATTAATTTGATTTGTTTACATTCTAATTATCTTTTCTTGTTTTACACTCGTTATTTGTTTAGTTGTTGACAAATTAATTTGATTTGTTTATATTCTAATTATCTTTTCTAGTTTGACACGAATGTATTTTGGTCCACTTTAAAAACTTGATGGCGCATTGTTAACATTTGAATCTGGCCGGGTTGGTTCGGTCTCGCACCGGCCCTAGCTCTTCACGCGCATGACGTCATCAGGACTGAGGCCGTCTGCCATTGGTTGGGCCAGCATCAGGAGATGCAAGCAGGAACTTACATAAGCAAGTAGTGCGTCACCAAACAAAGCCTAACCCTAACTCTTACCCTTCAAGTGAGAAGCTCTTAGAAACCGCATGGAACTTGTTATGCTTACTGCGCATGTGCAAAGGAGAACAAATATAACATTTCTAAGATGTTTGGCAAATTTCCGCGAGAAAATTTTCATCTTCAAATATTAATTAAATAACTTGCGCTGGTTTTCTTACAAACAAATTATTTTCTTTTATTGGGAGGTCGTTAGGGGACTAAGCCAGCCCGCAATGTGTGAGTCAATTAACTAGGTCAATGAGGCGTTTCGACGCAGATTTTTAAATATTCGGGATTGTTGACAGAAACGTAAAACATAAAAATAGTCTAATCAATACAAAGTGATAGCTTGTAGGCACTAATTAGGTTCCTGATTGCTTTAATTATTTCTCAATTAAGGAATCATATTTGTCAAAAGCGGGTTTAAGTTGACATGTTAGTTAAAAACATTTGTCATTAAATCTTTTGTATTGTCTACATCAGCGTCCGCTGATTGTCCGAAACTTGGGGTCATCACGAAAGGTGTTTGTTTTATCAAGGAAGGTGTTTCCTCATTAAACTAACACTAGATCTTTGTGCTGATTCACGATATACAAGACGTTGTGTGCGAGATTGTGTTGAGTGATGAATTCTAGGTGGGGTTGTCATATGTGTCACTTTTTCTGTTTTGTCAGTTTTTCCCTTCTACCCTTAGCTCAGAGCTTTACCCTCCCTGTCCTTAGCTCAGAGCTTTACCCTCCCTGTCCTTAGCTCAGAGCTTTACCCTCCCTGTCCTTAGCTCAGAGCTTTACCCTCCCTGTCCTTAGCTCAGAGCTTTACCCTCCCTGTCCTTAGCTCAGAGCTTTACCCTCCCTGTCCTTAGCTCAGAGCTTTACCCTCCCTGTCCTTAGCTCAGAGCTTTACCCTCCCTGTCCTTAGCTCATAGCTTTACCCTCCCTGTCCTTAGCTCAGAGCTTTACCCTCCCTGTCCTTAGCTCAGAGCTTTACCCTCCCTGTCCTTAGCTCAGAGCTTTACCCTCCCTGTCCTTAGCTCAGAGCTTTACCCTCCCTGTCCTTAGCTCAGAGCTTTACCCTCCCTGTCCTTAGCTCAGAGCTTTACCCTCCCTGTCCTTAGCTCAGAGCTTTACCCTCCCTGTCCTTAGCTCATAGCTTTACCCTCCCTGTCCTTAGCTCAGAGCTTTACCCTCCCTGTCCTTAGCTCAGAGCTTTACCCTCCCTGTCCTTAGCTCATAGCTTTACCCTCCCTGTCCTTAGCTCAGAGCTTTACCCTCCCTGTCCTTAGCTCAGAGCTTTACCCTCCCTGTCCTTAGCTCAGAGCTTTACCCTCCCTGTCCTTAGCTCAGAGCTTTACCCTCCCTGTCTTAAGCTCAGAGCTTTACTCTCCCTGTCCTTAGCTCAGAGTTTACTCCTTCTGTTCTATGATTCACCCCCCCCCCCCCAACACCACACACAAATATAATTTTCCAAGTTTCGTTTGGTAAGAAAACTTCCCAGGTCTTATGTTGTACTTGACGAGTGCTCTGATCAGTTTGGCCAGCTAATCTATAGAATGAGTGTGGCCATGGGGGGGGGGGGGGTCATTTGCTGACCACTCTATGCTGACCACTCCATGCTGACCACTACAGCTTTGTGTGTCCAGTGAGGTAACTAACTGTAGTTAGATCAGCCTATTGCTAGGTAAAAACGCGTGTCCCATATAGTCTTTATCTAGGCAAGAACGAATGTCCAATATAGTCTTTATCTGCGTCCAAAAAAGTTGAGGTACCAGTCCTCACACAGACAGCTAGCTGAAGGGGCAACAACTGCCCTCACGTGCAATAAAACAAATATAAACAGCTTTTTTTAAAATCATGGGCTCTTAAATTTAAATGCTCTTAACTTTTTGAATGATTAAATAAGCTTGCTTAATTCAATAAAAGCATTGTTCGCTAAATTATGTTAATGATTTCATGAGCTTTTAATTTAAGAAAGCAAGATTGTTCCTTTTTTTCAGATAATTTAAAAGATTATTATTATCAAGATTTTATATTATTTTATTGTTATTTTCATTTTTTTAGTAATTCATCCATATTAAGTAGACAGCACAAACGACTAAAAATATTTGCTATAAAATAAAACACTATCAGTAGCACGCGATCTCTAAAAGAGAATTATCTGCCCCTTTTTAGCCTACAGCCGAACACCAGAGAGAAACCAGCCAAAAGTTTTCTGTCGTCTGCTGGTTGATCGAGTGATCGTTGTACTGTGATTGTGTTATCTCCTCTTTCGTTATTGAATGTTTTGAATCTTTTATTTAATTTTAATGGCTAACCTAATATCTAATTAGTTTTTTTTTTAATTGGATAATATTGCATTGTCATCGGAAACTAATGTATCCGGAAAGTTAAAATGAAATTGTTGCATTTGAAGTGGGTTTAAATTAAGTAAAGAGATTTGCCAAAGACCCACAAACAAACAGTTATTGTGAACTAAATAAGAAATAAAATAAAATTTTAAAAAATTTAAAAAAAAAAAAGACTCACCTTTAGCGAACGCGTTATGCCTCTCTAGAAATGCCAGCTCGGGTCTGCCGTAGGGGAGGGGGTACATCTGGTTGACCAGGGGGTAGCCCAGGTGTGTGCCCAGGTGTGTGCCCAGGTAGGTCTGCTGCAGCACCGGGGAGTCGTAGAATGCCAGAGGTTTGCTGAGGGCCGCCCCATAGAGGCTGGACGTCAGCGCCGCCCCTGGGTTGATGGGCGTCGGCCGGGACAGGGGGTGGTGGCCGTGCTGGGGGCTGGGGGTGGTGTGTGTCACGGGGGAGGGGGGTGTGGTCGACGATAACCGTGACGGTGACGACGCCAGTAGCGATGAGGACGAGAAGGACGTGTGTGACGATAAGGTCGGTGACGTGTGTGACGATAAAGTCGGTGACGTGTGTGACGATAAAGTCGGTGATGTGTTCTGTGCTTTTGAAATCCCGAGAATGTCCTCGATGAGAAAAGACGAGTGCCCGTGGGAGGGGGGTGAGACGTCACCCCTGCCACGCATGTGCAGCCCTGGGGTCTGCAGGCCCGAGTATATGCTGCCCAGGGCAGAATGGGGCTGGGGCAGATGATGTATCATGGTGGCAGCAAATACAAACTATCCTAGACTGGAGAATACTAATCAAATGTAAAGAACTTGCATTTTTTTATTAAGAAAATCCACTTTCAGTTCTGTTGAATGTTCTCGACTAGGATCAAAAGCTGGAATGATTTCAATCATCAAAACTTGAGCCGAATGCAACTTAGTTAGAATCTGATGCCTGAATGTTTCTAGAATCTGTCTGCGACCAATGCTATCAGCTGACGTCTGCTGGAACATCAATCCAACGTCGTGGTGGGTGGCCCAGGTTTGAATTGGTGACGTCTTAGTTGGGGGACACTTTTCTAGCTAGTTATGAGCGACACTTAATCGGTGGGCGGGGCATAGAAGGGGGCGGGGCAGGAGACAACAGGACGTAGGGCGATTGACGGGCGTTGTGTCAACAACAGAGCTGACAGCCCGGACTGTCAACCTTCGTCTGTGTCTGCTGGGGGAGGGGCGGGACTCCACCCCAGCGGCTTGTCCCGGGGGTCCACGGACGGTGACAAACTAACGAATCCCAAGCCAGCCATAGACTCGTGTCTGTGGGCGGTCCTCCCATCATGGGGCAGTCCTCCCATCATGGGGCAGTCCGTGTATTCAGGTTAGGGTTAGCATCAGCTAATCGACGCGTTAGGATTAGCATTAGTTAATCGACGCGTTAGGATTAGCATTAGTTAATCGACGCGTTAGGATTAGCATTGATAATAGGCGGGTTAGGTCCGGTTAGGTCCGGTTAGGATGAGTATCATCTAATCTACTGGTTAAGTTTAGCATCAGCTTGTTAGCCCCCCCCCCCCCGGTAGTAGTGGGATGGACACAACCATCAAACTGGCACGTGATCAGGTGCTGGGTGAGGTGGGGTGGGGGTGGGGGGTGGGGGGTTCTACATTCAGGATCTACACACACATCAGTAGTCATTACGGGGTCGGCGTGGTCGAGTCGGTAAGGCTCATGGTTGCTAAACCGAAAAGTCTCGAGTTCGAACCCTCGGGCAGGGGACAGCCACTCTTCTAGGAGAGACAACTCCAACATCAAACAACTGCTGCCTTGTAGTTTGTTCTTGATTGGACAAAGGCTATGGAAGCAAATCCAAAAAGAAAAGCAGGCTGAAATCGGAGTCAATGGCCTCAATGGCGCAAAACCAGTTGACACGTAACGCTTAATTGTGTTGGAGACGTGGTCGAGTCGGCAAAAAGCTCATGGTTGATAAATTCGAACAGTTCAAACCCACTGGCAGATAAATCTCGATCCCCTTCAACACTAATAATTAAGAACGAAGAAGAAGAAGATTACGTTTCGACCTAAGGCCTCCGTCACTAAGACAATGTAAGGTGGTTTACGTCATCATCCATGAAGATGTCTGTGGTGATGTTATAAATACGTCATCATTCATGAAGATGTCTGTGGTGATGTTATAAATACGTCATCATTCATGAAGATGTCTGTGGTGATGTTATAAATACGTCATCATTCATGAAGATGTATGTGGTTGTGCCAGGATTAGGCAGCACTTTGAACAGAAATCAAATCAGTTTATTGTTGTCCTAAGTCCCAGTTTACTGGTGTCCTAGTTAACTGGTGTCCTAGTTTACTGTTGTTCTAGTTTACTGTTGCCCTAGTTTACTGTTGTCCTAGTTTACTGGTGTCCTAGTTAACTGGTGTCCTAGTTTACTGTTGTTCTAGTTTACTGTTGCCCTAGTTTACTGTTGTCCTAGTTTACTGTTTTCCTAGTTTACTGTTGTCCTAGTTTACTGTTGTCCTAGTTTACTGTTTTCCTAGTTTACTGTTATCCTAGGTTACTGTTATCCTAGTTTACTGTTTTCCTAGTTTACTGTTATCCTAGGTTACTGTTATCCTAGTTTACTGTTGTCCTAGTTTACTGTTATGCTAGTTTACTATTATCCTAGTTTACTGTTATCCTAGGTTACTGTTATCCTAGTTTACTGTTGTCCTAGTTTACTGTTGTCCTAGTTTACTGTTGTCCTAGTTTACTGTTGCTGTAGTTTACTGTTTTCCTAGTTTACTGTTGTCCTAGTTTACTGTTAGTAAAAATTAGTTAGTAAAATTTGGTATCGTACCCATGGAGAAAGGACAAAATATGTGGCGACAAAAAAAAAATATCTAAGGACAAAATATTTGAGGACAATTTTTCTCAATACTTCTCATTTAAATGGTGTCACGTTGTAAGCAGAATGTTGAAAATCAATTTAGTTTACATACGTGAAATAGTAGTTAAATTATTTGTTATTTCCATTTCTTTATTCAAGGGAGACAACATAAGCCTTTAGTTACTAAAATAACTTTAAATACAAAAGAATCAAGCAGCAATATTTTAAAAAATAACTTACTGTTTATTAAATATGAGTCTTAAAATTTGTATCTAATAGTAATATGAAATTGTATAATTTTTAGTTATTAGAACTACTTTTGGACTCTAATTTAAATAGAATAAGAATAGCTGTTTGAAACAATTTTTTTCTAGAGTTCCAAGTATTACTATTCACTATTGCTGCATCAATCGCGAAAAGTATGTCATTTTAAAAATACGAGCCGGCCCGCGGCATAACATACGCCGCTATTTAGTTGTTTCTAATTTTCAATAATTCATAATTTGTGAATTCGACAGTACCAACGCTGACACTGAAAATATTTCTTTAAAACACAATAAGTAGCTCGTTAAGGACCATAACCCTCCCCCTTCCTTCCCTCCCCCCTCCTCCCCCCCCCCCCCCCTACGTTTAAAATCGTTGGCTCTGCTTGTAAACATTTAGAGTGAACACAGCTCACTAAAACCATGTAGGTAGGGAGAGCGTTTGCAGCTTGTTTTCTAACGGCTCGAAGAAGAGAATTATATATATAGATTTATCCCTTGTACATACTAAACTAGGCATCGGCACCCGTTTCACGGGCAATTCTGGTAACTAGCAGCTCTCCTCTCCTTACATATAGGCTACCTGGTCCTTCTTTTATTTATTACCGGGTCATCATCATCATCATCACTCCTTTGTGGCCCCTGGGGAGCAAAGTGCTGCAACCACACATCTCCAGCGGACTCGGCTCTGGGCTGCCCCCCCCCCATCTGTGCCCATGTGAGCCCGGGTAGGGCATCAAAAGCTGTCAAGGGGGGGGGGGGGGGCGTGTGGGTGTGTGTGCGCATCAGTGGCGTAGTCAGGATCGTCTCTTGGGGGGGGGGTCAAATTTGTTCCATCAATATATATGTTACGGTCAAAGCTCGACCCGGCCAATGCGCGCATTGGCCAACATCGCATCCCATTGACCGGTCAAAGTCCGAAACTTTGCTTGATTTCGGCCTTTGTCCGGCCATACCGCGGACTGGCCATGGTGGACCGGCCAAAGTCAGAATTAGAAGATCATCTGGCTAGGGACGACCGGCCAAAGTCCGAATTAAAATATCATGAGCAGATTTTTGGGGTGTTTTTAATACCGTAAGGATCATGAAATTAACTGTTTATTGATTATTCATTAAAGTAAATGACAGAAACATTCAAATTATTTTTATTGTTCTTTAGTCTCAATCAATCAATATTATCACTTGTTACAACAAGTTGAACTTTTATGGTATTTAGAATTACAAAGTAGCTTGTTATTTTTACACTTGCAGCGATTTGTTGTGCAATTGGTTGTGCAATTGCAGCGAGTGTAGCCTTGGCCCCCAGTCAATGATTGTGAAGATGCGATTGTTCGTAGTGATTTTTCCTCAGTGCCAACTGACGACAATACGAGCAGTTTTTCGTGAAAAATTGAAAACTCACTTCTAGCATACAGTTGTTTTAGAACACCATGTTCCGTTCCTAACTTGTAGAAAGCTCATGACAACTGCAATGACGCTTCGGGGATCACCGTGACCTCTGTCAGCATCTGGTATACGGATGCGTACATTGTCACCCACTTCAGCTTGTTTAATATGTGTATATGATTTTGTTAGCATCTTAGCACCTTGAGTTGCGAGCTGGTATGAGCTGCTGACCTGTTGTCCATGATGTCTTGTTTATTGTGACACAATCTGCAGGTAATATTTCCCCTGTACCCTTCGTCTGCTTCATAGGATATTCTGCAAATAGCAAGGACATCGTTGCCACAGGATCCACAAGAATGGGCTGCAGTACAATATTTTTCACAAACTATTCAGAATCTGTTGGCCACATTATTGTCACGCAACTGGTCTGGACCTTGCGCCACGGCAGCAGATGTGTTAGCTGAGGATGTCGTTGCATTTATGGCAACCTCCATTTCTTGTTCAATGTTCTCAAGTTCTTCCGCAGTAATTAAATTATCTAATAACAATTACTACCGCATTGATTATTATATGTTTAGGTTCGTAACTAAAATAGTAAAATGTTAAGGTTATTTATATTATTTTCTATTAGTCTATAGTCTATGATATCTCAAAATCACTATTTTTTGTTTTTGTTTTTCGGTGTTATTAAAACAGATGGTGAAATTAGACGTATAGAGAACAAGGCATACTGCCTAGCTTCGCTTAGGTTTTCAAAACATTTGAGAATTTGAATGCTTAATTATTTAGTGACGGCTGAGGTGTGGAGTGCTTAAATTTAAACAGTAATGCTAATTTTAGAGAACATGTTGTTTTTACTTTCTCGTATATACGTAGTATAGAGAAAGTATTGTAATCGTGCAAAAAAAAAAACGAGATTTTTGCAAATCTCGACGTTTTACACCTCACTGATACGGAAAAACATAATTTTGCAATCTTGTCCGTATGTCTGTGTGTCTGTGTGTGTGTGTGTGTGTCTGTGTGTGTGTGTGTAAACACGATTACTTGAGTACCGTTACAGCTAGGTTGATGAAATTTCATATATAAGTATTATATCAAAATCGTAGATCCGTATCAACTTTTGAGCGATTTCCGATAACCGGAAGTGGTACTTTTTCTACTTTGAATTTTTCAAAAGCCTATAACTTGAGTACTATTTCAGATAGATAAATGAAATTTCACATGCAAGTAAAAGATCTAATTCTCTACCTTCTGTTAAATTTTGAGTAATTTCCGTTGACGGGAAGTACTAATTTACGCTATTTCCGATTTCTCAAAAACGCATTTAAATTTATAAAGTACTAATAATATTGCGCACTATTATGAACATCTTTATTCGGCGTTCACTTGGTGTGCAATACTTTTTTCTATGAGATTCTATTTTATTTTAAAAAGTTTATGTATTTAAAATGGATTAAAAATCATAACTATATCCCGAGTTTCCATCCCCTGTTGTTTTATATAAGAA